GCGCGGGGCAGGAAAGCTCTCCGTGACTCGGGGGGTCGCCCGTGGGGTGAGTCTCCCAAGACTGGGCGAGCGTAGCTGGGACACCAGGCCTGAACCGCGTCTCCCCTTTTTGCAGCCACCTCTGAAAGCCTCAGTCCTTCCTGGGACGAAAGTCCTTCCTGGGGTCCCCTAAAAATCTCCTTTCCGCAGCAGCAGCTCTTGGAGCCTGCAGCGTGGGAAGTGAAACTCCTGAAGCCCAGCTGCTGCGCCCAGCTCGAACTCCAGCACCCTGGTAAAAATCTCCTTTCCGCAGCAGCAGCTCTTGGAGCCTGCAGCGTGGGAAGTGAAACTCCTGAAGCCCAGCTGCTGCGCCCAGCTCCAGCTCCAGCACCCTGCTAGCGAAGCTGCTGGCGTCCCCGGCACTTCCCCCACCCTGGGCCACGCGACCAGGGCAGCGGGTGAATTTCACAAGCGGCGCCAGAGCCTGTTGGCTGGCTCTGAGACCCCTTGCAGGGGCTCGGGGGGGGGGGGTTGTTGGCCTTCCTTCTAATCTTATGAGACAAACAGATTTAATTAAACTAGAAAGATTTTTCCTTCTCAAATGAAGTGACATCTCTTTCATTTCTCATGTACAAAGGATTTCACTATTGTCTCTGCTGTGACTAACAGCAGTCGTCGTGTTGAGTTATATACAGTTTCTTTTTTTAATTTGTTCTTATTATCATTTCTAAGAAAGCCATCGCTGTAATATCAGGATTTGCCTCCTACACTGTGCTCCTTCTCAGGAAAGTAGATCATGTACGGGCTTTCAGATTTCTATTTTCCTTCCCTTCTCCTAAGGGAGCGTGAGGTACTGACTGCTGCTTTGTTACATGAAGCTCCTCTCCTGATCCTAACGCTGTCCTCCACAGATGACAGTTGCTCCTCTCCCAGGAAAATGCAGCTGTTTCTGGGGAGAAGCACATCAGCAGGCGCTGCAGTTTGCCCAGCTGTTTCCCCTTGAAGCAGAAGGGCCATGTGAAAGCTGGGCTGGAACGTGAACTGCAGTACTACCCAGTGATAGGCTTATTCCTGGAAAAGGCTTGTATGCATTTGCAGGAAATAGCTACTTTGATTTGCAATGGCTTTTAGGTTGCCCAGGAGGAAATGTTGTCCACTGAGCGATTTCTTTATTGAACTAGAGGCGTTTTAGCCTGGGGGTCTGCAAGCAGGCTCTGCTGTCGGTGGCAGCAGGCACAGCCTGGCAGTGTGGGCTCTGAAGCCACCCTGGCGCTCGCAGCAGGCCTGGGGGCCGCATCCTGCAGCGCTCCTCTGCCTGGCCGTGTGCCAGGTGCACGGAGCAGCCTAGGGGAGGAGGGCTCCCAGGAGCCCGCGTGGGCCAAGGGCAGCCCCACAGCTGCGGGGAAGTGCTCTCTCTCTTGCAGGGGCAGCTCTGCATCCTCAACGTAGCAAACATCCCTCCTGTGCACAGCTGCTGTGGGGAGCAGCTTTTCCCTGTGGGCTGGGCTGATGCGGGAAGGTGACGTTTCTTTCTGCTTTTCCACCCAGGCCGTGTACAAATGCCCCGACCAGGTGTGGCACATGGAACTGCTTCCCCTCCCCAGGCAGCTTTACATCCTCTGTGCCCACAGCGGTATTTACTGCGTGTCCCTGGATCAGCAAAGCAGGTGAGGCAGGTGTCACCTGGGCAGTAGGCGGGCTTCATCTCTGCCACCCTGTGGCCGCCAGGTGCCTGTCCCCTCACATCCCTGCGTGCAGTCAGTGGCGGTCGGCAGGCGCAGAGCCCTCCTGCTTGGAGAAGGCCTCCCCTCTGTTCCTGCCTACATCCCCCCCGAGAGCCACAGTGAGGCCCCTGGAGAAGCGGCTGCTTTTCCATTTGGCTGTGGGCTCAGGGCCCTGGGTGTTCAGGGAGAAGGTGGGAAGGGGGAATCTCTTTGTGCCCCTCAGAAATGCTCGCTGTAGCATCTCACACATGGATCTCTCCTACCTGTCTTGTCGCAGGCTCTCTGCGTTTAGGAGTCTTTGGCTCTAAAGCCCCTGAGCTGTATCACAGGACTGGGCTGATGCTTTGGGGTCTAGCCCAGCCCCAGCTGCTTGCACTGCCCTCTCGCTGTCCCTTCTGCCTGCGTCCCAAAGGCATGGGAAGTGTTAAGCAGTTCGAAGCTTCAGCCCTCTGAAGCGTTGGCTCTCTCCAGATCGCTGCTTTTGCGGCAGATGCTAAGAGCTGTGCTTTGGGGAGGTGGTTTCCAAGGGCCAGGGTGAGAGGCAGCCAAGAGAAGCGCTGGCTTCACCCTGCGGCTTGGCTGAGAGCTTTTCCTTGTTTGCTTGAAGGTTAATGGAGCAGACTGATGGTGACGGCCAAGAAAGCAATTGCCCTTCCGGCGTCTTCCCCGTGGACTCGGACGCCTGCATCTTCCCAGACTCCACTCTGTGCACGTTCACGCTGCTCAACAACTTCGTCATCACTTTGTCCCAGGCTGAGGGCAAATGGTGGATGAAACTGCACGAGCTTCCGCACCCCGAGCAGGAGAGCCCCCCGTACCGGCAGATCAGCGAGGTGGGCTTCTGCCCTGGCCCCGAGCCTGGAGACGAGGGGGACGGCCCGCCTTCGCGCTTTCTGCCTGTCCTGTGCTGCGCATCTTCCCCAGGCACCGTGGGGTCTGGGGAGGGGCTGTGGTGCTCGGGGGGGTTTGTGCTGGAAGAGCCCCTCTTCAGCTTGCTCTTTGGGATCGATGCTGCCATGCTGGAGTCTCCTATGATCCTTTGCGGCTTCCCGGACGGACAGCTCTGCTCTGTGCCACTGAAGGCCCTCAGCAATTCCCAGGCTGCTGATGGCTGTCACGATGTTTCGAGCCAAGACCCTCCTGTTAAGATCCTTCATCATTTGGAAGAGCCCATCGTCTTCATCGGGGCCTTGAGAACAGAGCGGAGGGCGGCAGAGGAGGAGGCTGAGGACGAACAGCTTTTTGGAGACGCTGGCTGTGACTGTGTGGTGGCGGTTGGTCACTACGGCAAGATGGTGGCTGTCAAGGCGGATCAGAGAGAGGAGGCCACAGTGCCAGAGCTCAGGGAGTACTACTTGCGCGGGCCCATCCTCTGTGCCGCCTGTGGGAGCGGCAGCCGGATGTATTACAGCACGCACTCGGACATCTCCGCGGTTGACCTGGACTGGGTCAACGAGTCCTCCGACCCCGAGGACGTGGAGAGCTCCACTGGAGTCCTGCCTCCCGTCCTGTCTCCGGCCAGTTTAAGTATCTGTAGTGTTGTGGCTCTTTCCTTGTCTTCTCGGGCATCAGAAGGTACTGCCAGCAGAGGGGAGTACGCTAGGTCTTGGGGTGAAACGGGGCAGGATAGCTGCCTATTCCGGCCTGTACGTCTCCACCCCTCGTTAAGGTCCAGATTGGGCTCCGTCCTTCATCCGTTCTTGTTGACTCCCCTCGTTTTGTAAGTCGTTTCTGTCGAGCATGCTGAGTCTGGGACTGAGTGCGAGGTGTGCTCGGAGCTCAGTCTCTTCCCCTGCGTGGTCGTGGTTTGTCTCCTGCGAGGCTCTGCTCCACCTTGGCATTGCAGGAGGTGGCCTGTCCGTGCAGGTGTCTGGGGCACCCGCAAACAGCCGTGTCTGACCCCTTCGAGTCGCTGTGCAGAGGGGAGCGTCAGGGAAACCCAAATAAGCTGGGATGAGACTCATTCCAGAAAGGGGTATCCAGGCGTGCAGTTGGCTGGATTAGAGGCTCCAGGTGTGGCCACTCAGAGCCTGCACATGCTGTTCTCTCTTCAGCCCGACAGCTTAGGTGCTAACACTCCCCCGATGTGGGCAGCGTGCGGTACCGACCTCGGCCTGGGCGCAGAGCAAAGTGCAGTGCTCGCCCTTGGTCTCCGCTTCGGGAGCGGAGGAAGGGAGCAGAGTGCCTAGCTACTGGGGACGGGGCGGGGGGAGAAGCGTCTCTTAGCCCATAGATGAGCCCGTTCCACAGGGCAGCACGAGGAGCAAACAGGGCCAGAAAAGGCAAGCGAGTGAGGAGAGTCTCCTTGGGCGCTCAGGTGAGAGCAAGGCAGGCCTGGCATTGCCTCGCGGCGGCCGAGGGAGCCCTTGCTGCGCCCAGCCCTGTTCGCTGCACGCGGAGCTGCATGCATCTCACCGCTAGGAAACCTGCATGGCGGCTCTGGCTCCCGGAGCGCTCCTGCTCCCGTGGTGTCTCGTGCTGGTGTTCGCTTGGGGGTTGCCAGCTCTGGAAAGCACAGCTG